TGAGTTGCATTTTCATTTTTTTATTACTTATTTTGACAGTAACAAATTTTCTGGTTATTCCATCGTTCACCTCATTGGACTTTAATTTTCTTATTTTAAAGTCTTTATTTTTTGACCTGCAGTGCAAGCTTTTATGACCCACTCTTTTACAGTTGAAACATTTTTTATTCCTAAAATTGCAATATCTGTACCAGTGAAGTTCACCACAAGCAAAACATGGCTTCGTGAGTTTTTGTTTATTTTTCTCTGGTATTTCACTTTTTGCTTGATAATCTGCAATTTTAGAATTCTTTTTGGTAGACTGACTTTCTTTTTTGTAGTGTATTTTCCTTACATGCGAAACGCCAGACTGTTCTATCTTTTTCGAATCTTTCTTTACGCTAACATATCTTGTGCAGTCTTCTGCCAACTTCTGTATTGAAATTCTTGGTTCATTTTCCAATTTTGACAGCACTAATTTCCTCAACTCTGCGTCTCTTTCTGATACCAGCCCTTGAAAAAATACTAAGCACTTAAAATTGTCAGCGCTTAACTCTGCCAGCTTGAATTCTTCACAATGCTTGTTCACATTAGCTGCATACATTATGAAGTATTGTTCATCCTCTTTCATCAGATTCAAACATTTCCACCTTTTGTGAAACAAAGATGTCTTTTTACTAAATAATTCACTTAATATATTTACCACCTCGGTAAAAGTTAACTTGCTAGTTTTTTTCGGTAAAATGTAGTTTACCAATTTGTTATGTTCAGCAGTTCCTAACTTGCTTAAAAGAAGTTTGACCTTCTTTCCTTCAGACCACGTGTGGCAGTCCTCATTATACACGTCCATATATTTTTTAAAATACTCTTCAAAAGTTATTTCTTCGCCTGGACTGTACATGAATATTTCAATCGAATTCCATATTGTATTCTCTGGGAAAGAATCATTTTGTAGATTTTTCTTTCCTCTTCTCAGTTATTTCCAGAATTTTGTTTTGAAACTCCTTATGCATCTGTTCCATTTCTTGTTGAAACTGCATCTGTCTATTAAAAGTTTCCTCTTGTAGTTGCATCTGGAATGTTTCTGTTGCTCTAATATTGTCATCTGTTGTTCCGTCTGGAACTTAAAAAATTCCTGGAATATATTTTTGCATTCCTCCATCTTCGCAAAAAGTTTACACAATGCTTAAATATTGTAGAGGGGGGTCCAAACGAATTTGCAATTCGTGACCTCTTTGAGCAAACTGTCTTATCAAGAAAAAAAAAAATTCTTTTCTCAGTTGAGAATACATCTGATTTTTTCGTCACTAAGTTGACATCTTGTCTTTCGAAAAACTTTGCCAATTTTTTTTTTTCCCGTATGAGTACGAATTTTGTTTTTTTAAGTGTGAATCCAAGATTTTGTCACCGAAATTGTGACAAGCAAGTTTTTTTCTCTTCCACCATATGAATTTCGAATCCTCGTGGCCACATGTGTTATGGAGTACGAATGTTTTTCTTCCTCCGTATGAATCCGAATACCTTGTTGCCAAGTGTTGTAGAGTAGTTTCACAGTGGAGGCTTGTATTTGTACTAAGTCGGTCCTAAATAGGTTCGACGTACAAAACATTAGGAACTTGATATAATAGGTAATGACACAGAGAAATCTAGTCGTGGTCGTTGATATTTAATATCCGACTAACGATCGTCCGACATCGACTGACTGACCAACTCCATGAGTGACTCCTACTTATTATAGGTGGGAGAGTCTATTAACTATAGAATAGGTGTGTTCCACTATAACAATTATGGGCATGAGGAAGAGGCAGAAGCTGTCCAAATGGAACTTCCTACAAATAGAATACAAAGGGAATGAAAATACTTCACCCTTGCATATGGTGTGGTAGGTCTTAACAGGTGGAACTAAGGAATGTAAATTGTCAGTATATTTTCTATGGACATAATGATAGAGGCTTGCAACATTTCATCTGTGAGAAAGGTCTTGTAGGGTGGAAAATGGTTCATCACCCATAAGGCTGCATAAACACTTTCGAAGTATGTCCAGACTTGGTAGCTCCAGCCCAGTTTTGCTCTGATCTAACTCTTGTAAAAGTTTATGAAAAAAGTCACTGCAGACAATATCCCAAGTAAGTGATGTCTCTTGTGAATAAAAAGATAGTCATGCCATCAAGCCTTGGTTCTCATTGGTTCAAGCTATGTAGTGTCTAGATGATAGGTAAGCCATACCAATGTTGTAACTATGAAACAACTATAAGCTGGTTCACATTCATATAGCGGATACAACATATTTTCTTAAATATGTTCATAGAGGAAAGAAAAAAAGATATTAACTAAACATAGCTTTGTATATTACAAGGCCAGATTAACGAAAATGGAAGATTATATAATGGCAAGCTTTTAAGTGGCAATCAGCCACTAATGCAGTAATCCTGCATTTTACTTTGATTCTAACTTCTGGTGCCATGATCCACTCAGTATAGTTGCACTATAAAGCATAGGTTAACTTACAAAAATGTGCTTGGGTAGGTGTCTGCAACAGACTACTCTAGCTAACCAGCAATTTTTTTGCAATTCTAATATGTTGCTTCATTCATTTTTCTTTGTCAAGAAGTAGGAATAATTCAGAAAAAATATCCCAAATTAGATTTTGCACCTTTAAAAGCACTGTTAATGAAACAATTTTAGATAAAACAGAATTTAAAAGTTGAGAAACAGCATTATTTATTAGAAATATTAGCATTCTTTTTTTTACATAAAATATACCTGCAATAACATTTTGAATAAAAAGCTTGTACAAAGTATAAAGTACAATCATTTTTTTTTGAAAAAGTATAAATTTTAAGTGAAATTATTTTCATAAAATTAAGGAATATATATTTTTCATATTTTAGGATAAGCAGATAATTAAGTATAAACCCATCCCTAAAAAGCCCCACATTTTCAGCAATTACCAATTTTATTTTTAAAATGTATAAATTTTAAGTGAACTTATTTTCATAAAATCAATGAATATATATTTTTCATAATATTTTAGGATAGCACATAGATCAGATAATCAAGTATGAAAAATAAAAATATACATGTTTCCAGCAAATTCCATTTAATTTTTAAAAATTAGTATCTGAGTTTAATATTTTAAAAATATGATGAATAATTTCCAAAGATTCTACAATTTTATTTGAAAGATTGAGACACGTTCTGTGCTTAGTTTCATTATTTTGCACCAGAATTTTGAATGCCTACTTTTAAGGTGTATAAGTCTTCTCCCATTTGCAGTATAATCTTTCTAGCATTCTGAAAACAGCTCACTTTAGAAAAAAATATTAAAAAACTAGTCCTTTGTCAACATAAATCTTTTCATATATTACACATTATTTTGGATGCAACATAGTCTGAAAACATTTAAATCATAAATCTAATCCAATAAAGAAAAATAATTAAAAAAAAAGAAGTAATTGTACACAAAGTTGACAAAATTTTAAACTCTTCTATCAGTTTGGCTTAAGCAAAAAAGAAAGCAGAAAAGAAGAAACATTAAGTAGGTTTTAGAAATTGGAAGAAATCAGCAGAAAAATTTGACAAGAATGTCTCAAAACTACTGTTACTTTTGAAGTCAAATTCCACAACATAGCGATACTACTGAAATGAGAGACAAAAATGAAATACAACAGAGAAAATAATTGTCATTGTTTAATAGTCATCCTGGAAACCGTTTGTGTTAATTTTTTCAGTGTCATCTTTACTGGTACTGTGCTACAATCCTTGAGTTTCATTTTTTGTTCCTTGGGGATTTGTACTGTTAATTTTTTCTAGCTGAGCTTGGTATTGAATGTACAAACTTTTGTTCTGTATTCTTTCAATCTGAAAGATGAATAAGAAAATAAACCAGATTAGATGTGATATAAAATAGTCAAATGTAATTGGCAGAAATGTCCAACAAAAAGAATAGACAAAGTTTGCAATAAACAATAACAAGAAAAATAAAAGAACAGGGCAAAAATAATATAAAGCAAACAATGTATGGAAGGCCAAGAAACAGTAATGAGGCAAAAAAAGTTCACAAACTAAGAATGGTGTTAACACACAAAAAAGGGATACAGACAAGCGATCACATCATTCTGATTGAATAGAACAAAGTTAGATGAGACCTAGAAATGGCCTATTTTGCTAAATTGCTTAGGAAAAAATCCCAGCATGCATTTGTGTGCCTATAAATTGAGGAAGGGCAAGTATTTTGCAGTCATTCCTAAAGAGATTTTTTGGGACTCATCCATATTTATTTTTGAAAAGTAAGTGACCTATTTTTGTTTGCATTTGTCTCTCAGTACTGTCTTATGTGTTTGTCTTCAATTTTTTTTTAGTGTCAGTATTATTGTATTTTTGATGGAACAGTTTACGTGTGCTGAAATGGGAGCTCCACCAGTATGGTGGTGTTTCCCCAATGGCTCAAACAACCATCTCCTGCTACTCCATTGGCATGGGCAGTGGATAGACCAAAGAAGGACATGGAATGGTATGAAACCCAAAAAGAAATCTATAAGGATTATATCTCCGGAAATGAGCTGCTGACAATTCCTTCTGCCCTGGAAGCTGTCTCGACCAGGATGATCTCTCTGCTGACCACAGATATAAAAAACAAGAAAATTGATAACTGCCAAAGTGTTTGCCCAAAGATTAAATGCCATGTAGAACATCCTGTTGGATACCATCGTTGAAGCTAGAGCACTATCAGGAAGCATTATCACCACAAAATCGGTGAGGTTGCAAATGGAGTATACAGGCACCCAAAAGATGAAAATCACACCACCCAAGGTTCCCTTGAACATATCAGAGGACCATTTGGGAGCCTATTTGTGTATTATGGACAAGTTGGGGATGTCACATCAGAAATAAGCAAAGTATGCTACTGGGGATGTCTTCCTATAGGTGTCAATGTCCCACATGTGCTTCATCAACATTCCTAACATTTTGACATACTGTGGCCGAAACATACTGATAATTGTGGAAGGCTGTCAACCCCACTACTGGTACTGTGGCGCTACAGGGCACTTGTCAAAAGCATACCCCAGCAAGGACCCAGTGCCACCACCCCAGTAACCAACATCATCTAAAGAAGCAATAGGGCCAGACACATCCAGCCAGCCCCCAAAGGCTTCAATGAATGGAAGCAGGTAGCGATGAGGGGACAAAAGACTGTGACTCCTCCTCCCCAGGATGTCCCACAGGGGTGGAAACAACAACAACAACAGAAGCGGCAGCGACAACAAGAATAGCTGCAACAACAGTCACTACAGATGGATTACAGTATGGATGTGGAGGATATGCCTCAACTGCGATCTTTGTTAAAAAGGGGGAGGAAGGTAGAGAAAGAGGAAGATAAAAGCACTATAAAGGAAAAAACATCTGACCAAATTAGGGCAGAGAAGGCCATGGAACATTCCAAGTCCCAATCCATCCCTACTTTGCCAAAAAGAAAAGAAGACACATATACTGATAAGGCAAGGAGCCTCCCCACTTCCCACACTGAGGATTCACCATCTACATCCATACCCTCTCCACCTCCCCAAAAAGAACCCCTTCCCCAAGGGGGAGGCCATCTGTTAAATAGACAGGAAGGCTCTTGATAGGGACCTTTCCTTGCAGAGGCTGCTATTTAAGTGCACCTCCATCAACAGAGGCCCCTAAGAACTTCCTTCACACTCCTGGAATAATAACTTTTATCAGAAATGTGGGTAAAAAATTAAAAGTGTGGGATCTTTTAGATACCACCTAAAAAATGTTTCCTACAATAAAGATGACTGAAGTCGAGTCAGAGAATTTGAAGAAACTGTTGAAACTTTGTGCAGGGAGATTCCTGTGTTACTCCATCCTTCATTATATGGGGCCTTCAGACTAGCATTCCCTATGTACATTGGCAGGGTTGTCCTAGATGAACAAATTATGTCCGATAAAAATTCTGGCAGTCTGGGACAATCCACTGGGAACCTTTTCCCTACATATTTCCTTTCAGTCTGCTTATAAGGAATCAAATTAGAAAATGTCTATCAAGCTAGCCAGTTTGAGTGCAAGGGGCTCCAGGGATCAGAGCAAGGCAGCCCACCTGCTTCATGATCTCTTGTCCTTCAGCATAGATGTCACCATGATCCAAAAGACACACTTTATGAAGTTGATGCTTATGTACTGTTTAGTAACTTTGTTGTCTATTCAGCATACCAGCTGGTCAGAGGTGTTTACTTGCTGGTTAAATGTACCCTGGGTGCAAGAGTGGACCTTGTTTATATCAATGCAAGGGACCTGTTGATTGTGGCTGATATTGCCATGAATAGTAGTTCATTTTGGATTGTTGCAGTTTATGCGCCCAACAAACAGTTGGTGCATGTCTCCTTTTTCCATTGGTAGAGTCATTATGATTAGTCTTAATGGGGGACTGGAATGATCTCCTGGACCCCAAAATAGGGGACAGGAAGTTAGCGAGAGGTCAGATGATCATAGCTTGGTTTATCTGATTGGTGAGTTTGGTCTCATCAATAAATACTGGGTTGATCACCAAAAGGGGAAGATGTGGATGTGGGCTCTTAAGTGGCCATCAACCTGGGTGGCTAGCTACCTGGATAGAATGTTAGTGAAAAGGGTCAATCTAGATTTACTAGATTGTCCCACATTCTACTGGTTAATTTGGACCACAGATTGTTTGTGCTCAGATGGCGCTGTGTTCTAGGCCTAAGATGGCTGGGCACTTGAAGTTCAATCTGTCTTTACTGTGCAGGCAGGATTTCTGGCAATAGCTAACTAGATTTGTGCAGTGGGAACTAGGATGGGCAGTTACTGGGAATAAGTAGTGGGAGTGGCTTCTTTCACCATTGAATATAGCCAATGACTCGCCCTAGTTAAGGTTAAAAAGGTGAAGACTCTCAAGGATAGTCTGTCCCAGTTGAAGGCTGAGGATGATTCCCTAGAGATAGGTTTATTTAGTCAAACTTTGGAGCAAGCAGCTGGTAAGTGCAAGCAGGCTCAGGTAATTAGACATAGATTAAACAAGATAACGAAGCTGTGAATTTTGGCACAGAATTGGGCAAGGGAGAAATCTGTCAAGGTTCTGATCATTACATTTGGGAGGTCAATACCCAAGAGGGGGGGTGTACTCTGAGGTCAACCAAAGATATGTGTGAGGTGTTTCGGGAGCATTTCAAGAACTGGTTTACCAGCCTGGTCTCTGTGGTGAAGAGTTTCATATTTACTTGGCTGACTTTCCTTGGCTTTCATTGACTGAAGTGGCTAGCTATGAGAGAGAGTTCACATAGGGCAAAATTCACTTGGTGTTGAAGATGGTCAGCAGTAGCACGTCTCTTGGACTTGATGGTCTGCTCTAAAAATTGTATTTGAGGCTGTCACACATTTTTGTGTCAATTTTGACTGTCATGTTCAACAACTGGTTCTGGTTGGGGTTCATCTCTAATCAGATCTCCAAGGGTGTGATCATGCTGTTGAAAAAGGACATGGATGGTGGATAACTATAAGCTCATAACTCAGAGGTAAACACAGAGTTAATGATTTGGTTCAAGATCCTGACAGTGTTTGCAGTCAGTTATCAAGATTCTATTGGGACCTGTGCAGACTTATTGTTATGGGGTCCACCCCTTTTTCATACAAGTGGACTCGACCAGTGTGTATTTGTACTGTTGCCGTTAAATACCCAGAGACAGAGCAGAGAGCAGAGATTGTGATTGAGTTGGAGGTAGAGTAATAGTGTGAGGTAACCGCTTGTAGAAGTCACAGTTGCAAGCACGTAGACTCTAAGGAAGTCCTACTTTGAGACTGGATTTACCAGACTATATATATATATATATATATATATATTATTATTGCTATTAACCGCGTTTCTGGATTTACTAACCGTATTAGCAATTGTATTATTGTGTAAATACATTTATTTCTTATATTTCATTCCTGCATTTGTCATTCATTGGAAATCGAATTTCATCTCGGAATCCACAACAAATTGGCGATGAAGATTCAAACTCATGCGGAGAAGAAAAAATCAACAAAAGAAAAATCTTCCCTCATTGTCCAACAAACAAATTGGTGATGAAGATTCGAACTGATGTGGAAAAGAAAAAGATCAACAAAAAAAAATCATCTTTTGTCGTCCAACAAGCAAATTGGTGACGAAGAATTGAACTCGTGCGGAAAAGAAAAAAATCAACAAAAGAAAAATTTTCCCTCGTTGTCCAACAAGCAAATTGGTGATGAAGATTCAAACACACTAGGGAAGAAAAAACAACAAAATATCCTCCACTCATCCACAACAAATTAGCGACAAACAGTTATGAGGAGTAAAAATACATAAAATTGAGTTAACATGGAAGATTTTAAAAATATTTTGGTAGAACTGATAAAATACCAAAATGATCAACAATTACAACTACAAGAACGAATGAAAGAAAAATGGCAAAAGCAATTATTACAAACGCAAAAGGAAAATCAAGAAAGACAAATAGAGCTCCAGGAACTAATATTGAAAGTAGCGGGCAACAAGTAATTAGATATTGAAAAAGAAGCAACGTTTTTGCAAGACGCAGTGTGGAATACCATAGAGATTTTCAAATATTCTCTAGATGAGGACAAAAATTTTGGAGATTACTTCAGAAGACATGAAGATATCTTTAACATTGACTGTCAAAATTAGAGAGAAGCAAAAAAGCTACGTCTATTGCTTAGAAAATTAGGAACTGAAGAATATATGAAGTTCGTGGATTATATCTTGCCAAAAAAGATGAACGAATTAATATTTGATGAAGCAGTGACGTCTTAAAGAACTCTTCAGCCCCAAAACATCACTCTTCCACAGGAGGTGGAAATGCCTTAACCTGGTAAAGGGCGATAATGAGGATTATTCCACATTTGCCACAATCATAAATAAACATTGTTACAACTTCAAACTAGTGGAATTAACCCCGGACAATTTCAAATGTCTCATCTTTGTTCAAGGGCTAGTTTCAACAAAAGATAGCAAAATGTGCAGAAGAATGCTTGCAAAATTACAAAATGAACAGGGTTTAACATTACAGCAATTATCGGAAGATTGCCAGAGATGTCTAAGTATAAAGAAAGACACAAAGACATTGAGGAATCAGCTGTTTCTCATATATGTAAATTAAACAAAAGTCTACGTTCTTCACCCTCCCCGGAAAGAAAAAGAAAATTTTATAATAAGAGAAAAAGTACAACATACAGGACAAATTATGATGAATATCGAAGCAAATATAAGCACCACTCATCAGCATGTTATCGATGTAGAGGAGTACATTGGAACAAAGATTGCCACTTTAGATATAAAAATTGTCCTGAATGTGGAAAAAAGGGCCACAAGGCATCCCAATGTAGAAATAGAAAAGATACTAATAGAATAAGAGCTACAAGGATGCATAACGATGACAACACCAATGTAAGGAAATATGTGGAACTGGAAATTTTAAATAAAAAGGTTAAATTACAATTTGATTCGGGTTCCGGCCTCATGATAATCAACTTACAGACATGGAGAAAACTCAACAGACCTACCATGTTACACACACAAAAAATTGCCAAGTTGGTTACAGGCAAATGAATAAAATTTGAGGGAGAAATAATCGTGAATGTTAAATTTCACGGCAAAACAAAAAAACTTAAGATATATGTCATGAAAGATACTGAAAATCTAGTAGGTATCGACTGGATGCAGAAGTTCAACGTTTGGGACCTACCTATCAACTCTTTTTGCAAAAAGTTAGAGGTTGAACCATCAGATACTATAAAATTAAAGGAAGAATTATATAACCAATTTCCTGAGGTATTTTCAAGTGAGTTAGAACAATGCAACAAATTAAGGCCAGAATTGAATTAAAAGAAAACATCCAACCAATTTTTAAAAAGAAGTGAAATGTACCGTTTGCTACTATAGAAAAAATAGACAAAGAATTGGAGAGACTTGAACAAACTGGGATTCTCTCAAAAGCAGAGTTTAGCAAGTGGGCAGCGCCGGTGGTTTATGTAAAAAAGAAATCAGGAGAAATCCGCATATGTGCAGATTTTTTGACGGGACTCAACAAGGCAATAAAAGACCATCATTACCCACTACCGAGCCCAGAGGAGATATTTACAAAGCTCAACGGCAGTAAGATATTTTCAAAAATAGATCTAAGTGAGGCTTATCTACAAATTCCAGTACAAGAAGAGAGTATGAAAATCCTTTGCATTAATACACACAAAAGGGTTGTACAAATTCAACAGACTACCATTTGGAGTAAAAGTTGCACCAGCAATTTTTCAGCAAAAATGGACACAATGCTCATGGGCCAGATTTTCGCGACCGCTTATCTGGATGATATTCTAATTAAGAGCGACAATGTTAAAGAGCACATATCACACATAAAGAAAGTTTTCAGAAGACTTCAGGACTTTGGGTTCAAAGTAAAAAGAGACAAGTGTGATTTTTTCCTAAACGAAATTAAATACTTAGGTCAGATAATAAATGAAAATGGCAGGAAACCGGACCCAGAGAGGGCATCGGCAATTAAAAATATGCCTGAACCCCAAAATGTTGCAGAACTACAAAGTTTCCTGGGCCTAGCTAACTACTATGGGGAATTTATTGATAATATGCATAAACTGAGAGCTCCACTAAATGAGTTACTAAAAAAGGAAAATAATTGGAATTGGACAGAGGACTGTAAAAAAGCATTTAAGGAAATAATACAAAAATTAACTTCAGAGTTAGCATTGACACATTTCGATGTGAACTCGAAATCATAATTGCAAGTGACGCGAGCTCACATGGGGTAGGTGCATGTATTTTACACAAGATGTGGAATGGGGTACCAACAAACCCGTTGCACACGCATCTAGATCATTATTACTGGTGGAGAGAAACTATTCACAGATTGAAAAGGAGGCATTGAGCATAATTTTTGCAGTAACTCGTTTTCACAGATATATTTATGGGAGAGAGTTCACACTCCAAACAGACCACAAACCATTTCTTATGATTTTTGGTTCAAAAAAAGGTCTACCAGTCTATACAGCGAACAGACTTTTAAGATGGGGAACTGTGTTACTAAACTACAATTTTAAATTGGAGTTCTTACCATCAAAGAAAATAGGACACGCTGACGGACTATCGTGATTAATACCTGCGAAAAGCGAACCGTTAGACGATTCGGTAATTGCAGCATTACAAGCTGAAGATGAAATCAGTAAGGTACTATGCAATACAATAAAGGAATTACCTGTAACGCTGCTAGAGATAAGACAAGAAGCAGAAAGAGATGAGTTTATTCAGGATACCAAGAAAAAAATAGAAGAGAAAGTGAGGAATTTAGCAGACAGTTTCTCAATCTGTGATAACATATTATTGTATAACGAGAGAGTAGTAATACCAAAGTCACTATGAAGAAGGATCTTAAAAGATTTTCACTTAGGACATCCCGGAAAAAAACGGATGAAATCACTTATGAGAAGTTTTGTCTACTGGCCGAACATGAACGATGATATCACATTAAAATGGTGGAAAGTTGCAAAGGTTGTGCTGCTGCTCTTGAAGGCACCACCCTCTATACAAAAGCCAGGGCCTAAAGTCGACAGATCGTGGTCCAGAATCACGTAATTAAAAGGACCCATTGAAGGTTACTACTATTTAATAACAGTAGATAGTTTCAGTAAATTGCCAGAGGTTGCCAGATTTAAACACCCGATGACAGAAAACATCATAAACTGTTTACACGCACTATTCGCAAGATTTGTCGTCGTGGATTGTTTGGTAAGCAATAACAGCACACAGTTTACCTCCAGTGACTTCAAAGAATTTTGTGAGACATATCAAGTAAAACATATCAAGATATCTCCGTACTACCCGAGGTTGAACGGACGAGCTGAACGATTCGTTGACACACTAAAAAAAAGTGTTAAAAAAAGCCGAGTATGTACTGACGATAAAAGTGATACAACAGTTCCTCCAAGTGTACAGAATAACACCTAATGTGAACATGCCATCGGGTTTTTCACCAGTGGAATTGATGTTTGCTCGGAGAATAAGGTCTGTGTTTGATAAATTATTGCCAAACAAGAACAAAAACCAATATACACCGGTTGTACCAAAGAGATCATTTAAACCTGGAGAATGGGTTTATTTTAGGATGTTTAGAAACAATATGGCTTACTGGGAACTTGGCACAGTAATCAATAGATTAGGAAATCTAATGTACACAATAAAAGGCGAGAAGTTTTCATATAGAAAACATATCAACCAATTACAAAAAAGACAGGGTGAGGAGCCAAGCTCATCAACTGCAGAAAACAACAATTCTATGGATACAATCTTTGAAGCGTTTGAGATCCAAAGACCGCAGGAAGACACAGAAAGGAGAACGTCAAACAGGAAGAGAAAATTTGTCGAACCTCTGATTATCAACCATAGACAAAAATACTAACTCCCCCCCAATAAGGGATCTAAGGAGGGAGGTGTTATGGGGTCCATCCCTTTTTCATACAAGTAGACTCGACCAGTGTGTATTTGTACTGCTGCTGTTAAATACCCAGAGACAGTCAGAGCAGAGAGCAGAGATTGTGATTGAGTTGGAGGTAGAGTAATAGTGTGAAGTCACAGTTGCGAGCATGTAGACTCTATATATATGTATTATCATTGCTACTAACCGCGTTTCTGGATTTACTAACCATATTACCAATTGTATTATCGTGTAAATACATTTATTTGTTATATTTCATTCCTGCGTTTGTCATTCATTGGAGACCGAATTTCACCTTGGAATCCACAACACTTATGCTATGAAGGGACTAACAATTCAGAGCAACCTGGCTGCTGTCCTGCAGGCCACTGGATTCAAGTGCAAGTGGATCAGCCTGTTGCATTGCTCCACCAGTGCTGTGGTACAGATGAATGGAAAGCAGTCATGCACTTTTGTACTGTCTTGGTTGGTTTCATCAGGGTTGTCTGCTGTTGCTGCTGCTTTATGCTTTGGCATTGGAGCCTTTCCTTTGCTGGCTAAGGGACAGAATGTACAGACTTACGTGGAATTGCTGTCCTTGGAGCTCAATGACATATCCATTTTCATGTAGTGCTGCAGCAATATTGAGGTGGTACAGAAGGCACTCGAATGGTATGAGAATGCCACAGGTGCCAAGATTAACTGCAACAAGTCTTCTAGGGCTCTTTAGTTGGACTGACGAATCCATCTGCATATTGGAGTGGAATTCTGGCCAGATTTCCAGCTGAAGAAAGTACAAGCAAAGGTCAAGAGTGGTGGTCCTGACCTGGCTCAGAAGTTGGTTGCCTGTGAAAGGTAGTGCTGAGGCATGTGTCATGTACATCTTTCCTCTCACAGGGATGACACATTATCACATGCATATGCAAGATCAATGGACACAAGATGTTTAGGATTGATACAAGCTGTCAACTTGCCAACATAGTCTCAAAATGGGTACACCTTAGGACAGTGGTAGAAGGTGTGTGAAGATGTTTCTTCTCAACCAAGGTCACACTTATGACAATTGGCCAAATCTACCCAGCCCCTATGAAGATCATGTCATTGAGCAATAGCACATTCTGAATCCAGTCTTTGATATATCTCCAGTCCATAATTTATTTTTGTCTCTCCCCTTCATTTAGTGGATGGGCTTCTTGATTATGCTTATTGAGAAAACACAGCAGCCAATCTTATTTTTGTGGGGTGGACAGGTCTAATATATTTTATTTTAGTTTAAATGTTTTGTTATATTTTAGTTTTGTTTTTGGGTTCATCCCCTCCCTAACATCCTTTCACATCATTAAGTTTTTATATATTTTTGTAAAGAATTGAAAAAAATCAAAGGAAAAAAAAAGAAATGGATATTAGGACATTATGGAATTTTTATTACCATGAGTGTTTTTGTAGGATCCCTATGGCATTGTGCTATATGTCAGATTGAATGGCAATGGATGAGGTTTTGTAGTGAATGAGTAAATTATAATGGATGAATGGGTCATGAATCTTATTAGCTATGTTTAGGATAGTAAGTGTTGACCAGCCTCTCCCCACTTCCCATTCAGCCTTGTGCCCCAATTGTTAAAACATTTTAACAATATATATTCCTAAGTATACTGGAAACAACATTGTTGTTTTACTTAGTGTGTCAGTAAGGTTTTTTTAAATGCTATTGTAAGATGTTAATGCTTTGGTAGTGAAAACATACAAGATTTCAATCATTAAAACACTGGATATATTAAAATAGATCATACTTCCTTCTAGCTTGCATTTTCTGACAATCTTCACAGAACTGTTCTTGTTATTTTCAGGGTATTCAATCATTTCATTTGTATTGGTTAAATCGAAGACAATCATTTTGGAATCAATCTGTAGCTTCAGGATCTTATCATTCTCATATGCCTGTTCCAGCTTATGGTTTATGTTTGTACTATAGTGTACAAGTTTTGATTTGCCATTCACCATTGTCATATAGCTCCACTGGACAAACCTTTGGGTAATTTCAGCAATGTGTTTTGTAGATTGTTCTTTTACAAAGGACATTAAGTTGTTGTTGATTTTTTTGTTTACTGTGAAAACATCATCCTTATATCCACTCACTATGATCTTTGAAGGCATGAATTCTATTTTTACTTCATATTGATCCTGCAGACTATCAATAATCAGCTTCTGTGTAAGAAAAGTAGAAGAAACAGATGAACAATAATAATCAGGAGAAAACAACCATTTTGATTGGGTAGCTAAAACAGAAAAGAGAAAATTTTTAGCTAGGAAGAAAGTATAACCAGGTGATTTAAAATACCAATTCAAAGCAACAAAACAAATGAAAAATTCACTTATACTAAGAAGAAAATAAGAATAAAATTGGAAAAAAAATAACGGAAAGCATTCTTTTTAAAAAAAGGAGTGTATATTTTTAAATATCGGGAAAATTAAATGATATTTTAAATAGAGTACTTTTCAATAATTGTTCAAGATTGTTATCCAATTAAAGCAAGTTAAAAGAAAAAATAAAAAATTTGAAAAGTTTTTTTTGTCTTATGGATTCATTTCTGGTTTGTATCAATCAATTTTGTTCATTGTTAATTATAATTATTAGTTAATTTTCTAAATAAAATTCAAGAAGATTTTTAAATGTATCAAAAATTTAAGGCCCATAACAAAATTTTTTGTTGTTCTTGTTGTGGGGGAAATGTTTTTTCAACAATTCATCTCTGATAAGTTGAATAAAAGATTTTTTTCTAATTTTTTAAAAATAAAAAATTGTTTGTGTAATTAAAAAACACAAAAGTTATTGTTTAAATACACTACTAAAAAAGCAAGCAACAGGGTTAATTGTCATGGAACATATTCTTACAATGTCACGACTTTCAATTTCAAAACCCTTTGCAGCCAAGAAATACCATTGGGGATACAAAGCTACAAAGTGTTTTTAAAAAAATTTCAATATTTCTATCAAATAGAAATCACATTCAAAAATTCGAAAAAAATGTAAACATGGTAAGATTAAGTTTGACCACCAAAAAAAAAATAACATTTGAAATCTAGCAACATTTACATGGGCCAGATAGATTTTAAAAATCAACAGACAGAATCGCCATTTTCAGCGTTTAAAATAATATAAATTATGGTATTATTGGAAAAGGATTGTTGGGCCAATTAAATGGCATCAAAATGACTGCATTAATTGCAACATAGCGTTTATCAAGGAGCATTTGAACCGTGGATGAAATGGCAAAGCGTTGCAACTTCAGAAGGCCAATGTTTTTAAATTTTATTGACACCCTCTTCCTCCACTATCTGAATAAACTGGGGCTTTGATGGACCTTTTAAAAAGCAAATTTCTGAATTTGAACCTTATCGAAATTATTTGGACACAAATTTGAAGTGAAGAAGGTAATCCATAATTTAAAAACAACAGGATTTTTCAACTATGTAACAACAAAAAAATTTGACATTGAGAGATGACATCAACAATTATCTCTTTATCTAAATCGTCTTTCAAAATTTCAAAACAAAAATTAATTTCTTTTTACCTTTGTTTGAATCAATATTTATTATTTTTTTGAATATGTTATTTATTAGCTTAATTTTGATCATAAAATTTTTTGCAACATTACATAAACGTTTTTTGTGTGGTCCATTTTCACTCTAAAAAAACTATTTAAACATTTTTCTAATAATTTGGCAAGCTCAAATCATTGTACTGATAACAAATATAGTGCCAGTTTGTTTCCATTGCTCAGATCAAAAACAAATTTTTCAATTTTATTCGCAGGTTTTGAAAACAAAAACAAATTGATTGGACGGTTTTTGAAATATTATAAAAAAAGTTATCTTGATAGTAATTTGGCACGCAGTGTATTTAAACAATAACTTGATACAGTAAAATTTAATTATAGCTGTACATAGCACTGATGTAGACCTCTTAATACTAAAAAGAGGGTAAATATCTTAGAAAATCTTTTGATCAACTCTATCAGAGATCAATTGTTGACAAAAACATTTCCCCCACCAACAAGAACAACAAAATATAATTTAAGGGGCCTAAATGGGAGAACAAACTGATACATGATTAAAATAGAAAATCTTCTTGAATCAAATTTAGAAAATTAACTCAATTTGTAAAATTAACAATGAACAAAATTGATAAACAAACCAGAAATGAATCAGGAGACAAAAAAAATACGTTCTCTCAAAAGTAAAAAGGAATAAATGGAACTTTCCTTTTGCCTGCAAAAGTAGGTCTTTTAATTTTGATTCTAATTCTTTCAACAATCTTGAACAAGTGTTGAAACTGTACTCTATGCAAAATGTCAAACTAATTTTCCCGATATTCACCAGAACACTTAGGATTATCAACCAAATACTGGCCAATCGCAGAATCTGTAGCCAACTGACTCATTCGTGTTGTACAATGCAACTTCCTTCATCTTATAAAAGCTGGAACATGGTAGTTTGTCTGCCAGTTTGTTTAGTGATCAAATTCATTCTTGAATTTTATAAAGATCAAATCAAGGTGCTCAATAAGTGAAGACAGATTTAATGTGCTTGTTTGTTTTTATGTTCCCAAAGATATTCAGTTAGACTATGATAAAATCCTGAACTTCTATGTAAATAAGAATCACAAAATTTAAAATTTTGAATTGAGATTTTTACTGAGGCATATGCCCCACTGTAACTGAAAATACTGGATCTGACCCTGGTTGTATTATACACAAATATATGTTTTTAAAATTTCTGCTCAGCTTAAAGAGCCTCTTATTTGAAACACCAGGATTGTAAATACACAACAGATAATAAAACACAAAGTAAAAAATGTTTTTTTTAGTGATTTTAAAGAAAAAGTTACTTGAATTATGATTGTGAATATAAGAGTTATGGTGGAAGATCATATAGCAAAGACTTACTTGGTTATATGGTAGCTCTTTAATGATCTCGTCATCAATATTTGTGGAATGAAAATATTTAGACTTGTATTCTGAATCAATTTTCTTCTTTACTTCTTTAATTGTATTGAGACTGTCTGCATAGAAAAACAAGCTGACAGGAGAAGGAAGTTTTCCTTTTGATACAAATGTTTCTTGTTTGGCAGACCCTGACAAAAAATAAATTAAAAATTCAGACAACATGCTTGAGTTTTCTAATTAGGGCTAGCTGTAAAATGAAAAGTGATGGCAAATAAATATTTTGTATCCAATATATCAATTCCATTTTCTTTTTTTTAAACATTTTATCCCAAGCAAGGCAATAATGCTAATGCAATACAAAAGGTTAATGGGAATGAAAGAGAATGAGAAAACTTAATGAGAAGAAAGGACAATAAAAGAACAGGATTTTAAGAAAACAAAAGACAACTGTGTGATATGCACCGGTGGTTGCAGTCACAGTCCAGCGCCAACATGTGATGTCCACTGGTCACAACCTCAATATCTGACGCTGTGCTGTCGGCCCATGATCAACCCCCAGTTGTGGCATGAAGCTGTAAGGTTTCTTCCACCAGCATTTGGGGTTGACTCGTTGTCGTTGCCACCAACCTGTGTCCCAGTCGATCTGGTTGTTTCTGGTTCGGTACCAACTTTGTTGTTATCAGCTCGCCTCCAACGCCTGGTCATCAAAGTAACTGCTTTGATCTCAAGTCTAACCTACCCATATTGGGACTTTGATCTTAGGTAGATGAAATCAATCAGGCGTCGGGCCATAGTGCAAGCCAAATTCAGGGTAAAGGTGATACCGCACAAGCATTAGTCAAAGAAAAATAATAAAACAAACTCACGGGGTTCAAATATGTTGAGAAATAATAATTAACTTTATCTATCTGTTGAATACAGGAGTGTGTTTCCTTCCCGGCCCGTTCTATGGATTCGTGACACTTTTTGCATTTCTTAAGTAAGTTATGATATCTTAAGTCATTTGTCAATAAAAACTTGCTTTTGGTACGAAGATTAAGTCATAAAGGACGTGGAAATCTTGGTCAGCTCCTGTGAGGCGCTATTCTCTGAGCTCAACAGCTCTCTGTCGAATAAACACTCCGTCTCTGATCTCCAACCCAACTCTACCCAACCCTGAACACTCGGAGACGTTCGTTTATTTGGACATTGACGAAAACCAGGTTGGGGCCTGTCGTGGTTTGGGTTCTTTGACAGTTTTTAATTCCCAACCAAAAATTTTCTTTGTCCCCAGAACAGGAAAATTTATTACTTCCCATTTTTGGAAACTAATCACTTTCCCTTTTGGGTTTTTTCTCCCTCGTCCGTGAGGAGAGGTCGAAGGAGAATTATCCTCCTAGACTCTTCCTTTCTCATATTGGTATCTCGTACCAATCCTCTGAGTGGGTGTCAACAACTTCCCCGCCTTTCTCATACGTTCATCTTTACTCACACTACCACTCAGCCAATGAACGCTCGACAGCATGGGTGTGGCTAGATTTGGCCTTCTTAAAATTATCGTCCAGAAAAAAATTCTCTTTTCCTTTCTTTCCTTCTTTTCTATTGCCCAGAATTCTTATGAATTCCATGTGACCTTTAATTAAAATTTTATCTTATCCTTAGTCAGCCAAAATCCACTTAGCAGAATTCTCACCAACTCATTCCTTCAACTGGGTGGTACTTTTTAATTGATAAACAAATTCTTCATTTTTCTTGTGTATTAAAATTTTCGTGGCACCAGATGCTCATTTTCAAGTCACCGTCTGACAATAACAATGATTCTCTCTCTCGACTCTCTTTTCTCATGTCAAGATCCGGACGTATAACAGATGGGTCTCCTCGCTGGACACAAGAACTAAAACTAAATGATATCTCTGAAAGATAATTAGTGGCAATTCTTTTAGGGTGGTCTCACTGAAATTCCTTCCCAGTTACATGCATGGCCTGGCTTTTGTTTATCTTTTAGAATTCTGTTTTCTTTGTCATGTCACTTATCTGATCATGACATTAATGAATTCTGACAGAATCCAAAATCTGGTTTTCTCTTATGGATTTTCTGTCTTCTGTGAAAAAGTATCTTTCCTCATAAATGAAATAAAATCTTTTCCCATTCATTTTTTTTTTGTTAAAAAAAAAATGTCGCTCAGTCTGTCTTTTGTAATAGCTCTTTCTTGCCTTAAGTATTTCTCGTTTTAATTTCTATGCTTAATTAGCTAGCCAATTACCATAGCTAAATAGTGTCACAACTGTAGTAATATGTAAATGACTGTCTAATTAGTATAACTAAGAAATAGACTATATACATGGCCATGTATGAAGTAGTTCTCAATATGCAAGGTAAATGATTATTGTTGGACTGATAAAATATGAGGAAAGTCCCACTTCATAAGAAGGACAATTGGTGTCAGATATAAATTTTTGAAGATTATATGTGGGAGGGAAGCAAGAAATTGTTTGTTCAACAGGCAAAAAAGAAACTAGACAGATTGTGACTATTTACATCACAAATGAGAAGACTTGAAGTGACTGAAATATGGTCATACTTACAAATGTTATAGCAAAAACCTGAGATGAAGGGAGAAATTTTTAAAATAGGAACTGTAATAAACTGCTGCTAACCATCAGAAAGAGACAGCTGAAATATTTTGGATACATATTGAAGAAAAAAGGCTTGGAGAATTTAGCATTCTCTGGACCCATGAAGGCAAGAGGAAAACTAAGTCACCAACTTGATAAGTTTGAGTAAATAGATTGAGGAACAAGTGTCACAAAGAGGAGTACTAAAGCAGCAGGTATTACTAAGAGTAACAAAAGATAAGAAGCTGTGGAGAGCCATAATTGAAAGAGAAATTGAAAAAGAGAGATAACCTAGTTGACAAATTTAAGTAAATGATAGAAGTAACAAACAGGCAAAGAGTAGCTGAAAAGGAGAAAGCATTGCTGAGAGTAACAAAAAACAGGAAGTTGTGGAGAAGTATGATCGTCCTATGATCTGAAAAGACACAGTGAGAGATAGAAAAAGAGATGAAGGGAGAAAACAGAAATTAAAAAAAAAACTTTTAAAGATGAAGAAAATATTATTTCCTCTACCTAGAATTTTTAAATAGCCTAAAAAGAAATGAAACAAACATTCATATTTACCTGTACGATCATAATGGAATGATTTTAGCAGAAATTGATACAATGCTTTTATTTTTTCAACAGTTTTTTTTTTTATATATCTATATATATATATATTATCATTTCATCATCACTATTTGTGACTTTTCTCCAGTCACAACAGTTACACTCTCAATGAGGCTTCATATTTTGAAAGATGGTGGGGAAAATGGTTGACTCATTTTATTGGTCCAGGAAATATCTGACTTCTTCTGCCATGCTTTTTCATTACAAAAGTCAGATTAGAGCAAAAATAGAGTATTGCTATCATATCTGGGCTCAAGCTGCTTGATCTTCACTTTCAAGCCTTGAGAGTTCAAAATTGTTTTCAAAAAAATCTGAGAGAAAATTTATTTTCTGCTCTTTCCCACAAATGTAATGTTTCAAGTCTGTTGTTACTCTATTGCTATTTCCATGGCAAATGTTTATTCAGACAAGCTAATCCATTAGTCCCACCAATTCAGACTTTTGCCATACCACTTGCAGAGTTGATTCACACTCATATCCACTGTTTCAAACGTAAGAAAACAGCTTCCATGAATACTTAAAATCAAGGGTCACTTGTCATCTTCCCTCATTCACATAATCTTCACTTCTTACCACCTTCACTTCCATTAATATCCCACACCTCAATCCTCTACCGTAAGTGGCTCTCAAGCTTTGTACTGCCTGAAAATTAGTTTTAAAAAATTAAACAAAACAATAACTTCTGGGATGGGGAGTTATCATTGTTTACATTTGGGTTATTGCTCTCATCTTTGTTGTTGTTACCACAATATTTTGATTGTTGTACCCTTGGGCCTTTATCAGATATATATATATATATATATATATATATATATATATATATATTGATTTGGGTAATCTGTAGGGAATTCTGATCTGAATCCTTTTTTTTAATCTATGTGGTCTAGACTGTTCTCATACTACTGTCCATGTCTAGGGATATCATCTCATTTTTATTTTTAGTAATTAAGAAAGAAAAACAAATGACAGCAATTTTACTTCAGCAGCAGCTAAAACATGATAGACAGCAGCAGTAATCAGCAGGTGGGTTAGGTTTAAGGCTAGAAGTTCATTACTGAGAATTGTCCTATGAAGCAATAGCCTAGTGGATTAAAGCATTAGTTTATGAATTTGGTAATATAGTAATTGTGTTCAATACCTGGGCTGGGCAGTGTGTACTTTGAGTTTGTGAAAATTGGCACACAGTACCAAAAATATGAACTAGACAATATCTGGCAGTAGGCAATGGATTAAATAATGGGTTCAGTTCAGAATTCCCTGTAGCTTACCCAGAATTTCTGATGAAGACACAACAAAGGTGAGAACAATAGTTTGAATATAAATAGTGTAAAACATGATATGTGTTCAGGTCGGAATGTCTTGTAGTCACACTTCTGCACACCTAATTTTTGTTCTATAAAGCCACTGAGATGCAAGAGGTTACTGAATGTAAGAGAATATGAGGAAAAAAAAACTATTAAGGAGAGAGAAAAATAAAAGAAAGGACAAAGTCAAAAAATTGATTGAAATAATTTAAAATTTTTGAAGATCAAATTGATTGGACAAGAAGAATAGTTTCAATTTTTACCATGTTATTTATAGGGACAAAAATGTTAAGTGGAAATGTTGAGATGCCAAATCAGATTCTTCTATGGATTTTATTAAGAATCTCTAAATACATATAAGAAGCACCAGACAAGATGTGGCAGCAATATTCAATGCATGGATGAATGGTAAATCTAGAAATGTGTGAGATAAATTCTGATGAAAAAAATTGTGATAGCATGACACAATGAACCAGTTTTCTTAGCAGCAGACCTATCAATTAGTTTAATGTAATCTTTCTACTTTATGTCAGTGGAAAACTTTAGTTGCAGGAATGCTAAATATTCATTGTGAAATCAGCTTTCATTGTGTAATTATTATTCTTAGTTCAATGTAAAATGTATAGAGAATATTTGCATTGTGACTAGAAAATATTCCAAAATTAAAATGAGAGCTTTCTTCTATTTGCCATGTTCCTTCAGGATGTAGGTGGTCATGGCTCTCTATAATTTCCTGTTCTTTTATAGTTCTTAATAAATTTTGTCTTTTTGTTATATCTTCTAAACCTTGCTCAACTATCCACTTACTCAAGGTCACTAGGTACATTATGTGTTGTTTTCCTCTGTCCCAGTTGCCTTCAATTTATCTTGTGAATATTAAATTTTCCAAGCCCTCTTTCTATATTAAATGTCTTAGAAATTTCAACTAACTCTTCCTGATGTTAAGTATAAGCATCCTTTTTATTTCCGCTGTCTTTAGAACTTTGCTATTGCTTACAGTATTTATATTAGTCGGACTATTGTCCTCATCTTTGTTGCCATATCTGTCACAACGTTTCAGTCGTTGTATATGAGGACATGGCACAGTGGATAAAGGCGTTGGTTAGATCCAGTGACAGACCCAAAGAAGGTGAGTTCAATACCTGGTTAAGGCAGTGGAGAACTTTCAGAGGGAAAATTAGAAGGAGATAACTGATAACTGACATCCATCAAAAACATGACACGTGGAACTAGAACAGTCTACCCCAGTGATCAAAATAAAGGGTTCAGTTCAAAATTCCAACCACCTGAAGAAGGCCGGAACGTACAACAGCCGAAACGTGACAGATATGGCGACAAAGATGAGGACAATAGTCCGACTAATGTAAATACGGTACATAATACCTCATCTCAGAAATATAGACGGACTTTGCTATTGCTTACGCTTCGTCTATGGTATTCTCAGAATCCTTCTGTAGAATCAAATTTCTGTTGCTTCAAGTCTCTTCTACATCTTTGATGAGATTGCCCAACATTCACTTCCATAAAGTTTAGTAGTCTTTTATTTGCTTCTAACAAAATTTTTCTGCTGCTTAATACCTGCTTTAGCTTTTAGAAAGCATCTTTTGCTATCTCAATGTGCCTTTAGATTTCAGTCTTGCTCTATTGTTCATATATTTAAAAATTCTATTTTTATATGTTAAAAATTTTACATTTGTTGTCTTTGCAGTGTTGGAGTGAGATTAGTGAGAAAAAGATTAAAATTATCTTTTTTATGTGTTGATGAGAGACAAGGTTCCTACAGATTTGTGTAAAAAAAAATTCCAGGATTTTTCAAGGACTTTTCCAGGACAATGCATTAGTTTATGTTTCAAGGACTGGGCATTGTGTGCACTTAGACTTACACACACACACACACACACACAGTGAATGGTCACCAATTTCAAAACACAAACTTTGTGATTTATCTTTTAATACTTTGACAAAAAAAAAAGCTGGCAATAATTAAATAAATGGATCAGTTCAGTGAAGAATGTGTTGTAGCTAAAATACAACTGAATGCAGATGAAGATATTACAATTTTGAGAACAATACAGTTTGAGTTCTAAACAATTGAAAATTTTGAATTACAATCTTTAATTCTTACTGCTACACATTTCAGCTATCTAAACTACTCTTGGTTTGTGAAGAACACAAAAATCTTTGACTGCTGCACATTTCCTGTAAAGTTAAATGCAATGGTTTTAATGAACAGAACTACAAATAGAAATTTTAACAAAAAAATGACACATTTTAGTTACCCCCTACTACTTATGGCTTTCATTGCACATGGCACAGAACACAAGGATGTTAAAATTTTATCAGTTCATCTAATTTAGTATTCAGTTCTTCTTCCAATTTTGATATCTCTATGGATTTGCCTTTGCAGATCTTTGCATGACATTAGACTTTGCGATAAGTGTGAAGTTCTGGAATGCACAAATCTTGCATGCAACTTTTAAGCTTGTACTTTTTGATCTTCAGTTCTTCAATTTCCATGAGCATGGATTTCCGTTTTTGTCCACCTGCTTCTTCCTGCCGTTTTTTCTTCTCAGCTTCAAGGTATTGGTTGTATGCTGTTCTGGCATTAGAAGCACTGCAGAGAAGAACCTTAGTCTTGGAACATTCCCAGGACCTTCAACTGCGGTTAAATAGTCTGTGATAATGCACTGTACAACCAGAGTCTGCTGTTTCCTACTTTTAGTGGAAATTTTCTTGACTGACTGAGAAACCTCTCTCATGAGAGAGTACCAATAATCTGCTAATAACTTTTCACAGTTTTTGATATTCTTTGTTGCTCAAGTAGAACAAAGGGTCCCAACAGTCTTCATACTTGCTGAAGTTCTTGAAAGCAGTATTTTCAACAGCCTCATCTTCAAACTCTTTGTACTGACTGTTGAGGTCTTCACAATCAGACTTGCTGACTTGTTTTCTGTCCATTATGTGTGAAAGACATCTTCCTGTTGCAAGTTTTTATTCACAAATGTATCAAGGGTTCAGCCATGCAAGTGACCTTACAAGAGGGTATCTAAAGGAGAGACTTTGCTAAAAGTTTCTCAGTGATGGTGATGAACATTGTCTTTGTTGTAATTCTGCATGCAAACAGATCTTTTGTTGATACATTTCCTTTTTTGGATAAATTTTGCATAGCCCTATCTGCCAGAAATCCATACTCGATCTTTGCAGCATCTTTATGCATGTTTGGGTTTGAAAAAATTCTTAGAGATTTATTCAGTTTGGAAAATGTAATTATCTTTTTAGTGTGCTCTTCCTTTACAAATCTTAACAGTTTCTTTATCATGCTAAAAAGATCATCTGCAAGGAAAGGAAGCAAGGGACTATTGCTCTATTTTAGAGTTCAGTGTCTTTCAAAACAGACAAAAATCTGCAGTTTCACTGGAATTAAAAAGTCATTCACATTTGACAGTACCACAGAGAAGGACTTGATTTGGGGTAAATTTTTTGTTTTTTAATTCATTTCACAAATCTGATGACATTTGGCCAAATGTCTAGTAGTTGTTCACATGTTTGTACATTTTCTCATCTTCTATTGCAGAAATACAAAAGTAAAAAAGGGGAAGGCTTGCCAGATTGAACTTTTAATATAAGATAAACCAAGCAATAAAAGCCAATTCAGTTTTAATATATTTCTTCATTATTTCATATTTACAACAAAAGCTAGAGATACAGGTCCTTATAAGCCTGAAAACTTTAAAAATAACATTCTTATTATTTTTTCAAAAACACATTTTCTATCATCCTTTCTGTCTACATTTTCTTTAAGTCAAACTTGTTACTTTTGGCAACAATTTAGACAAATGCAATTTACACATAGATACACATTGACACAGAATGCGTAAAGTATCTATTTTTTTATTATGAACTCACCTACGACTAACTAAAGATCGAAAGGCCTTTTTACTTTCGAAATTGATATGTGAATAAAATTTCAATTGTTCAAATTTTAAAAAACATGGAAATTTTTCAAGATTCTACTAAAATGTATTTTATTACTGTAAAATAATTTATTATTTTCCTTTCAACTACAAATTTAATGAGTGTGAATTAATTTATATTTGATGGAGATGTTTAATTGTCTGTGACACCCTTTATCTTTGAGTGAGGGTAGCATATAGAAGACATGCCTTCATATTCTTTCTCTCTTTCTTTCGCATCACCTAGATGAGAAAATACAAAAGTAACTATCTGATGTAATGGAATAACTTGTCACCCCCATGAGTGACTATACTATAGGTAGTAACAACCTATAAGTATCTGCAAGTCGACGGACTACAGAAACTAGCTGGGATCTGTTGAGTAGACTTAGACTTACGTGAGAACTACCGACCTTCCAATAGTAGCACTCACTACTGGATTGACTTGCAACAACCTTCTGTATAACTGTTACCTTTATTCTTATTGTACTGGTTTTTTACAATAAACCTTTACTTATTTATTCCATGAATTCACATACAAAAACACCAAATTTCAATGACGCCAAAACAATTTCACAAGAAGAAAAATATTTGTCAGTTTAGTTTGGTTTACAAAGTTTCAAAGTAGGACAACACCTTCGGATATTATAACCTTTTACAATCGGTGGAAGACATTCTGAAAAAAGATTTATCATGTAAAATCTTTTAAAAGTAAGAATATTTATCTTATATTCTTTGTTTAAAAAAATGTGTAACAATTCACAGCACAGATTTGAACCCAGGCCATTAACAAAAACAAAAAAAAAATTTTTTTCTTGTATTAAACTTATTAATGTACCCGCCTATTATTTGAAAATTACACAATACATATTCCTATTAGCACATCTATCATGAACTCATTCTAATCAAGAAAACAAATCACTGTTTGCAATAATTTCCAAATATTACTGTCAACTTAATAAATATTTTAGCTTCTAAAAAGGCCACATTTCTGGGATTTGACATTTTGACTTTCATGAATTGAGAAAAAAGGATGTGTGGCCAGCCCAATTTAAAAAATTCCAGCATTTTTCAATGAATTTTTTGGCTATTGGGTTTTCAATCTCTGAAAAAGGACTGTCAATTTTCTAGGACCTGTACAAATCCTGGAAATAATGAATGTAAGTATTAATACTAACTTCCAGTTTAATTTTCTGTTGATTAATCAAACAAAATAGATAGAACTTAGGAATACTTTTTCATAGAAATCAACAGAGATAATGCAGCCAGAATGTTGAGGCCTTCATTTTAACTTTCAAGGCTTCAAAATGGAGTAAGTAAAAACTTTCTTGGTTACTCTCTTGTACCTAATAACTCAGGTGGTCAAAATAAGATGGCACCAGTAGCATCTTCTGTTTTAACATTAAGTCAAGGGTGTCAAAACTAAGTTGTATAGTGGATATAGTTAGTAAAAAAAGAACCCCAAGTAGACCCCACCTTAACATATTACGCATGAGAGAATAGTGTCATACCTTTTGAAAAATAATTTGTAACTGAAGATGAAATTTTTGTGAATAAAGACTTGGTACTCTTTGCAATGCTTTCCATTTCTCGACAAAATTCACCAAACATTTCCCGCTGAAAAATAACAATCTTCACAGTTTTCAAATTTTTTGGTGATGATTTGGCAAAGTCATGAACAGCATTTCTTAGATGCTTTGAAAAATATTGGATACTGCAGCCCAGTCCTGAAAAGAAAAAAGGGAGACAGTTAAGTAAATAAAATGCAACATCTATGCAAAGGATTGAATTGTGTGATAAACTATGGTACTTTTATTACACTTTCACATTTCAAGATAACTCACTTAATATTTAATGAGGATCAGATATTGTTCTTTCAAATGAAATTTAGTAATCATGAATATATATTTTAATATAATCATGAGTACATATTTTTCTGTGAAAATTTTGATTTGTATTGAAAATGATTAAGAAAAGCTAGGAATCCTAATCAGAGAGAGATTTTGATAAGACTTGGCAAATCAATTCATAGGGCAAATATTTAATCATTATTAGCTATTGCTCACTCAAATGAATTGATAATCAAGTAAAAACAAATTTGTATGAAATGAGGTCCCTAATCCATCTGCCATACATTTATGGGGCATGAACATCAGTTCAAGTTCATAAAAAATTACAAGATATGTGAATTCAGATGCAAATGTAGTTAGTAGAAAACACACAATATGGTTTCCAAAATATTTATATCAAGCCTTTGGATCCCCTCAAAGGTTATAAAAATTGGCAATTTTTACTCACAGAGATATTCTTAAAACCTATCCAGGTTTATTTTTCCTGGTAATCAAAATGTCTTTATGGCTGAACACATTATTTGATTATGCAACATTTGTCATAGAACTTCTATCAATATTTTCCACATTTTTTATAAAAAATTTGTACATGGCCAAATAAGGAATAAATGTTGGTAGGAAGTATGTGTTAATATCATTCTTTCAAGTGAAGAGGATCTGCTTGCCTGAAATTGAAAATACAGCAAGTCTCAAGATATATATATATTTACATGATAGCTGCATACACATGCTTTTTTAGTGTATAGATCAAGTCATCATGTGTTCTTTTCAGATTTACATGTTAGTATAATTAATGTCATCCAGGCTTAGCTTTGAACAAAGAAAGTTCATCAAGAAATGCTACTGGAAGTATGAAAATGCAGTTTAAGTTCAAAGGTGGTATCAAAGAGAGTTGAATTCAGATTCATCCATAAGAAATTAGAGCTAATTTTGAGGTTGATGGTACTGTACAGAATGTGCACAAGAATTGTCCTGCAAGATGATGGATATCAACAAGCCTGTTGTAATGAAAACTCGGAGTTCAGTTCAGCTTAATGTGTCTTTATTGAATGTAACTGAAGAGTCTTGCCATTTTGGTTGAGTGTAAGATTATATTTCTTGACAGCTACCAAGACCCATTTTAAAAGTTGCGATTGTGGTCAGTCCAGTCATAGCCACACACTGTCAGATTATCTATGTAGGCAAAGGTGCCTTGTAGTTTTTCTTCAATAATCATTTTATCAAGGATGCTCTGAAAATTAGAAACTTTGTTAGTGATGGAATGTTAGAATTGATAAAGTCATCTGCAGGCTTCAAAAGCCATATAATGCTTATGTTTAGGGTTTATGCTAAATATTCTGCATTTGGCAATCTTGTTTATCATCTCATCAATATGGGGTGTAGGGTATGCATCCAGGAGGGTGTACCTATTTATAGTTTGGGAGTAGTCTATGACCATTCTTTATTATTATCAGAAGATGTTATTAATACTTGTGCCCTCCATTGTGATCTGCTTTCTTTGATGATTCCTTCTCTTAACATTCTTGTTATTTCTGCTTGAATAAACATTTTGTCTTCAAGAGAATATTTGAGATTTGGTGGCCACTGGTTTACAGATTTTGGTTAAGTTTTCAAAAAGAGGGACATTGTACATTTATAGTGGCCAAGCCACAAATGTTCAACGTCAGTTGAGGGTGCCCAGATTAATACTAGAATGCTGTTTGAGGAAATCATGGCCCAAAATGACATTGTAGCAGATTTGGAATTCCAAAAAATTTGATGTTAGTGTAGTTTGTTTGATTCAGCTCTAGACTGATAAAAATATATCATCTAATCTGTAAAGATATTGAAGTGTTTGCCATAGCCACCTGACTATTACAATGCATGATTTCAAATCTGTTTCTTTTTGCAATATCAGCACTAATAAAAGTCTCTGAGCTTCTTGTGTCAACTAGAGTATTCATTTCTACACTGTTTACTTTTACCATTAATATAGCCTTTGAAAGACATTTAGGGTTTGCAGTTGATACGATACTAGTGGCAATAGAAGCATTCCAACCAGATGAAAAAAAGCTTGATTGACAAACCTTAGAGAAATGTTCCTTCTTCCCACACTTATGGCATTTAGTTTCCCTGGCTGAGTAACATGTCCTGGGGTATAGTTTGAGATCACAAAAATAACATTTTTATCTGGCTGCAGCACTAGCAGTGTATTCTGGAGAGAGAAAATTTTGAACTGGCAGAGGGGTGGGGCAGAAATGAGGAAGTCTGTTGTAGAGGACTGTCTTTTTTTTCCCTGTATGGGTTGTTTGAGCTGGTGGACAAGTAGGAGTGTGAGTACTTAGTGCAGCCTATGCAACAGTTGTTTGTAAGTATGAACAAGATTGCTTTTCTCCTATCTCCAAGATCAGTCCCTGCTCATGAGCATTAGCTAAATCTATTTTCCTGCAATCTTTGATGGATATAGTTCAATTCTAATCCATTTAGAAATTTGTCATTTGTCTGAACTGCTGTTATCACTTGAAAGTCAAAGTTTTGACTGAAGATTTTTAAGCGCTGAAGAAACTGTTCTAACTTCTCTTCAGGGGATTGGCAGGTAGTTGCTAATACATACCAGGCAAAGATAATGTTTTGTCTTTTCACAAAAATTCTATTCAAAATGTCCATGGCACTCTGACAAGTTTTGAAGTGAGAAATATTGGTATATATGGAGATGTAAATGTGGTGCATTAACAGGTTAATCTATCCGTATAAGTAATAGGAGTGGATAACTGTTTACTAGTCCAAGCAAGAATCCTTTGTATAATTGTTTCCAATATTGCTAGGTGTCAGTAAAAGATGGATCTGCAGAGTCCAAGTCGAGATGTTTTGGTTTAAGGTATTTCTTCATAATAAATTGTAATGAAAACCCAGAGTCTAGTTCAACATAATGTGCCTTTATTGAATGTAACTGAAGAGTTTTGTCATTTTGGCTAAAACGGCATGACTTATTTATACAATCATAAGACAGGGGAGGTAATCAGGTTGTCTTACCACACCCATAAAGCAAGAAAGGGTGATAGAAATCTTTCACAGAAGCTCAAGAAAAATATTGGGATGTTGATTGTTGTTTGTGATTTCAGTGTCGTGTTGTCAGCAATGTCTGGATCATATTGAAAACAGGTAATGATAATATCTTAAGATCATACATTTATAAAAAGTACTGTCTTTGTATGCATTACTTAAATTAGATATTGTTGGTTCTGGTTCTTGAGAAAGCTTCAAAATCAGTAGACATTTATTTGAGACATCCTGTATAATATCCTCACTCCTAACTTTAAAAAAAAAGAGAAGAAAATGTAGCATGTCTCCCCCGCCCAAAGATTATAGATTCTTTTGTATATGACTACTTGTTTGTATGTGAATAATGATTTATGACAACCTTTTGATTGATTTCTTTTTTAAATGACTTACCTCCAGTTCCAAGGGGTGGTAAAGCCAAAGATGTTATTTGATGCTTTTCAGCACCATCAAAACAAAGTTTGAATATTTGAGTTGCGTTATTTCGGATCCCTTCAATGTTCACATGAACAATATATGTTGCAGGCAATGAATGAGCGTTTGTGATAGCATAGTTATTGGCTGCCATTTCTGCAACTAGAAAAATTGAAAGCAGTTTATCAGTTAAAAGGACATTTCATATGGTAATTAATAAAAGAGTGAACGTCTGAAAAATTCCAGGTACTTTTGATTTATGTGGTCACTCAAGTAATTTTTATCTTAACAAACATAAATTTAAAATAGTTTCCAGAAAACTACATATACTTCTCAGGCTGCAATCAGTCTAATTCATAGTGTTAAGATCTTTTATCATTTTATCAAATTACAGAATAAGGCTATAACTGTTTTTTATGCAAGCTTTTCTGCTTATCATAACATAACAGATACTATTGGCCAGAAATCTGGTTGAGACTGTATTTGATTCACAATAAAGTTCTTTGGAAAATTATCAATAAAATAGTAGAGCAAACTGGGCTTTTTAGAATTGATAGGGCAACCAGGCTAAGAGAAAGACAACTCTGAAATCAAAATCATGAGTGGAAGCCCTTGAAGACAGGTGGCTGTCAACTTTCTTCAAGCAGCTCCTGTATAAAGGTGATGCCAGTATGTTTCATTTCCCAAGCTTTATGGACAAGAGTGCTCTGGTGAAATTTTTATGTGTATTGCAAACCATAATTGGATTAAATAAATTGCTCAAGTAAAACACAGCAGATTTCCCTATAACACTTAGCAGAAAAAGTAAATAAGAAAAAAATTAATCTGTTTTTTCTACTTTACATTGATGTATACGGAAACTGATAAAATTTTTCATGCCATTAGAATTGACATTCCTGACAATGACCTGGCAGTAATTTTAAAGCAATAAACATTGCTAAGGAGTGAAGGTAGTTAAAATAATAGTGGTATCATGGGAAAAAAAAACACCCTTTTAACACATGGCATAAAGGTTAAACATTGCCAATCTTTTACCATGTGGTAATTTTTTTTTAAATTGATAAATTTTAAGATCTTTAAACTAGCAGAAGGTGAAAAAAGATTTTATCACTGTATTGTAAAATTAATCTAGTAAATCAGCTTTCTCTTCATTATTTTTGTTAGCTGTTATCATTAAAGCAAATCAATCAGTGGCTTTAAAAGTGATTCTACTAAAAGTGATATGGTGTTTTAGAACAGACTTTGTATGTTCACAATTCTAACATTTCTTTAATTATTGATTAATTAGATAATCCAAAATTAGCCAATTTTATGTACAATGCTGAATGGGTAAAAATAAAATAAAAAAATAACTTACTTTTAGATTTGCAATCCTTTGTAAACTGGTGTCCAATTAAACTTAATAGAGATTTTGAAATGATTCCTTAAAAAACAAAGAAAACAAATAAATTTTCTTTGACAATGCATGCAACTGATTGTAAGACTTAATATTTTCTTATATACAAACTGTGGTGATATGTAAATTAAATTGTATATAAGTGGGAAGGTTTCTACATTCGTGGGTGGAGTTATCATTCCTTGACTATGTTGAGTATTTGTGAGAACTTTATACAACACAACAACATGGTGTCATCGATATGATATCTAACCTCGTTAGAGGATCCTGAGCTTGTTGAGACTTGGATGAGATGTTTTGTAGCATTGGCAAGTGTCAAGAAATTGAGAAAGCTTTGGAAGGAGTAAAAAAATATCATTGGCTACTGGGATGACATAAGTATTGGCGCTCATACTGAGGAGGAGGAGCTAAAGAATAAAATGGAACAATTTCTAAGCAGATTCAGTAATTCAAGCATGACAATTAATCGAGAAAATTGTAAATTTAATTGTAAGAAAATTTCATACTTAGGATATCAAATATTTAAAGATGGGCTCTCACCAGAAGACAGACTTATTAGAAAAATATCAGAAATAAGTACACAAAAAAATAAGAAAGATTTAGAATCTTTCTTGGGTTTGACTAACTTTTATAATAAATATATGCCTCGATATAGCAAAATGATTGAACCTTTTGCAAATCTGACAAAGAAGAATAATGAATTTCAGAAAGTTGACGGCAGCAGAGATGAATTATTCTAACATTGAAAAAGAAGCACTGGCAATTGTCTGGAGTATTAAAAAGGGCACACAATTTGGTATTCGGTAAGAAATTTCTAATAAAGTCAGACCACAAGTCCTTAGAGTTCATTTTCAACCTGAGGAAAGAGTTGCCTAAAGTAATGTCATCCAGAATTTTGAGGTGGGTGATTAAGCTTATGGAATTCAGTTTTGGCATTATGTATAGTAAAGGAAATGCCATTCCACACATAGACACATTGTCAAGATTGAATTTTAATATCCAGAATGTTGAAACAAAGGACAGCTGTGAGGACAGAATTTTGCACTGGGTAGAGACAGATGTGTTATCCTTCAGGTGGCTTAAGTTTGAATGAGCAGGATCCTATATGAATATTGAATAGAATAAGGAATAATGGATGGAGCAATTGTTCTATAGATGGAGAAATGCCTTTTACATGAAAGCAAAGCAAGTTATAGATTAACAATTGAAAGAGGTGATCTTATTGTACCACCATAAACATCTAAGAAAAGATGTTATTAAAGCAGTACACGACAACATGATGGTGTATTGAACACACAAATGAGATTGAAACTACAAGCTTGGTGGTCAGGGTAGATGCGAGACATGGTGGATTATGTCAGAAAATGATCTAAGTGTGCAAAGATGAAGAGCTTTAGTTAATCCAAGATTCATTCATGGCCAAAAGAGAAGGAAAACATATAGATCATGCATACATTAAAGATGTAGGCCTATTCCTCATACTAATAGATTCATATTCATGTTAGCCTATGGATTTCATTTCTTTCTTTTTCGTTAAAATTTTGGACAGAAAAACAGACTGTAAAACAGGTATTAAGAAGTAGTATTTTTATCTGAAAGAAGGAACAGAGTACCTAAAACATTGGTGTCAGATAATGCACCAGAGTTTGCCAATAGTTGAAGGAAACTCGTGTATATTTCTTAACACAAATTGGATGTAGGCCATACAAACAACCCCCATACCATCCTCAGTCAAGTGAAATTGTGAAGAGGATGGTCTGGATGTTAATAGTTGGATTAGCTTTATTCTGAGTGAAAAAGAGGACATAAAAAGATTGAAAATTCAAAGCTGTCAGTGGAAATAGATTTTCATCTTATCAGCAAACAAAGATCTTTTTTGAAAAGACATGTTTATAAATATAATCATCCTTATCTATCATCCGACATGGGGCAGAAACAAAAGCCACCCGGCAATCAGTTTCTTTTTTTGGAGGAAGGTTAATTAGATTGGGAATAACCATGTTCTTCTCTTATATATGTTTGTATTATAGGCAGAACTACACAACCTCTATCAAAGATTAATTAATGGCTCAACTAATGGCCTGCTTGTCAACATTCCTCAATTCTTCTGTCATAGGTGATTTATAATCATTGTTGCTCAGTCAAATGAAAAGGGGGTAGAACACAAAGTATTTAAAAACACTAGATATTTTTCTGGTTCTTTGTTGAGAATAATTTTAGATGTTATTTTTGGGGAGCACCCATTTTCTTTACCAATAAGGTATTGGAAACAACATGTTTTTCTATTTTCCCAAGACTGACATCTTTGACAATACATTAATTGTCTCTTTCTTATCAGTGGAAAGTGTGGTGGTCGGAGGGATTTGGAGTCTTGGTTTTGCTTAATCTTACTGAACTTCGTCTAACTGTTCTTGATTTCATTTTATTATTTTAAAATGTAATTTTTAAAACATTTCATTTTTAATTTTCTTCAACTATTGAACCCACTTCCCTGAGGATTTTAACAATCATCATCCAGTTAGTAGTCTCTCTAAATCACTATCCTGTAAACTTGTGCATTTAAAAGTTCAAACAGGGCCAATAGGCTTCTGTTGTGATCAGAACTATCATACTGGAACACCTGGAAGAAATGATTCCTGTGGGCTATAGAAGCAGAACAGGCAGAAGATTGTGGTTTCACTTGGTATTTATGAGAAGGTACAAAATCATCAGTGCTGGCTTTAACCCAAGAAGAAACTTCAGTGGCACAATTCTCAATAGGATGATTAAGAATCTCAGTCCAGTTGAGATGAATCTCAATTGGTACACTGGCAGTAGAAAGAAGTCTTGTGAATAGGAGGTTCCTTTCTAATAGATGATGCAAAAGAAATATCAACAGAAACTCCAGCATGATTTGAATTGCCAAGAGGACAGAATTGTGATGCTCAACAAAAGATAAGAGAAGAGGAAAGGAACAAATCAAGTAAAAAAGCAGATTTATAAAGAAAATAATTAGGGAAATCCTCTATTTGATTAAGAGAGTGAGAAACAGAAAAATTGAAAGTCTGAATACCAGCTACATCAGTAACAATAGAATGCATAGGCCACTTGATTTGATGAGCATTAAAATCACCAGACACTTTTGTAGCTAAGACTGTGTATGCCAATTATAAATCCTGGTATGACTTTTTGTTCTCCAAGGATTGCCTTGGTATGTTTTAGTAATATAAATGAAAATATATTTTATCATACAAATCATTTTAAGAAAAAGCAGATCCTAATAAAAATACGCATAACCCAGTTAGTTTGTTACTAAAACAAGCATAAAACATTACAATAATAAAAGGAAAAGAAAAGGTTTTTAGAATAATCTCAAACTGTAAATTGTTTGGTTTTTTTTAATGTAAGCAATAATAACAATTAGTATTTTACATGTTTAGAAAAAAAGTTGTCAAAATGTATTTCAAGTTTCATATTTTTATTTTTCAAAATGATGCATAAAATGTTTCTCTGAAGGAAATTTTCACTATCTTGCTACATTACTTCTTTCTTATAAGAAATATTACTTACCATTTAAAGTAAATTGAGTATTAGTTCCATGAACAATACCATCTACATTTTGGTCTGTAATACTTCCTGTTTGTAGAATCAGTTTAACACCTTTGATGTCAAAACTTACACTGTCATCTGCAAAAAACATAAACATAATTAAACTTTGAGGACATATCAGTGATGTCATCTGTAATGTAAATATCAAACATGTATTTGATATTTAAAAGTAAATAGTGTGATAAATTTCTATGGCAAATAGTGAGGAAAGAGGGCTTGGAAAATCTGACACTAACAGGACATATTGAAGATAAGAGGAACAGAGGAAACCAGTGCAGAATCTATTTAATGAACTTGTGTAAATAGTTGGTAGAACAAAGTTTAAGAGATAGCAAAAAAAACATACTATGAGCTACAAAGGATAGGAAAATGTGGAAAGCCACGATAGAAAAAGAAACTTTTTTCAAGAACTAAGCTTTGTTCAATATGCAAAGTTGTCTAGAAACAGGAAGTTGGATACTAAATAAAGCAGAATCTAAGAGAAAAAGCAAAACTCACTAAAATGTGCTGGAATTGTTTAATAGTTTGTATTTAAGAATTTAAAAGAACTTCCAAAAACTAACGATTATTGATTTGTTTTTGCTTTCTCTTTACCAATTATTTCTTCACAGCCATTTTGAATATCAAATATTATTTTAAATTCAAGATATAAAACAATTTGAGAACCTCAAGTAGATTTCATAGCTACTTATTAATTTAACATTTGTAAAGTTTTTAGGTTGCTATCTACTTTCAGGAGCAAGGAATCTTTAGTTTGACTTAAATAAAATTGATTCATGAATATTATCACAAATCAAGAAGAGACTTGATGCAATAGAATTGTAATTCTACAGAAGGATACTGAGACACAAACATGTGAGAAATTACAAAGTTTTATAGAAAATGGAAACAAAAAAGACACTTATAGTTAACATCATGGAGAGATAATTTAAAATTTCTAGAGCACTTAATGAGGAAAAAGGGTTTGGAAAATCTGATACTCACAGTACAGATTGAAGGCAAAAAGGAAAGAGGAAAACAGTGCATAACCTAACTTGTGACCTTGAGCAAGTGGATGGTGGAACAAGGTTTAGGAAAGATAACAAAAAGTGGGAATAGTCTAGTGAAAATCATTGATTGCCACATCATCAAAAACAGGAGATATTGGCTAGGAAATAATTAGTTTCAAACAGATACAAGCACATTTGCAACCAACCCTGTGTTGCCCAGTCCACACTGAGAAAAGTTTCTTCACATAACAAAAGTTGAATGTTTTGTTTGTCATTGCTAAATAAATAACATGAATAAATGTGAAGAAAAGAATTAAAAAAAATAAACAAAAAACAATAAAACAAAGGAAAACTTCACACATTTTCTCAGTAATAACATTGTCATTAGATTACCTTGTGAAGTCTTATTACTAGCTGCTGCAACTTGTGGAATATTATTAAAAGCTGCTGCAGCTTTCTCAGTGTGTGATTGGTAAGTTTTAGTACTTGAGATGGTGGATCCATTGCTTTTGACATCTTCAAATACCTGGAAAAGAAATATGTTTGTTTTCAATAAAAATGATATAGTTGCATGGTAACATTATGAATTGTCATAGCAATTGTTATATCTTGAGGAACGTGTTCTTAAAAGAAGTGAACACTTTTGTCATTTTCTTTTTCAGTACAAGCCATGGAGAATTTATATTTTGAGGCAAAATTGTACCCATCCCGCAAATGCTGAAAATTTACACTATATATTATAGAAAGGGGTATTTTTTAAGTTTTCACTCAACAGTGAGATTATGAATAGTGAAATATTCAAAAAAGCGATTATGATTATATAAAAACTTATACAGTAAAAAACATTCAGTATTTTATCTGACAACATTATATGCCAGCAAGAAGCAGTTTATTTTAATTATATCTATTTTCATTATAATATGAAGTCTGATCAAAAAGTATCGGGGACTGTTTCTATGGCAACAGAGCTAAAGTACACAGAGTGAAGCCTCTTAGCTTAATAGACCTAGAACTCTGTTGTGCATGCATAGTAAATTGTAATGTTCTTGTTTGCTTTCATTGTTTATAACAGTGCTTGGAAGGAAAGTGTGTAGAGTGTGGTTGTCTCACCACACCACCAGAGGTTTCATCAGTGACCATGGCTTGTGCAGCAGTTTTTAACCAAGGACGACATTCCCGAGGTTTGACAACCATCATATTCCCCAGATCTCGTCCCTTGCAAATTTTTCTTCTTTTCAAAAATCAAATCTCATTTGAAAGGAATAAGATATCAAAATGCTAAGGAAATCTGAGAAAATACAATGAGGTAGATGTTTGCTATGTCAATAAAAGGAGTTCCAGGAATATTTCCATCAACAGAAATGATGCTGGATGAAGTCTGTAGCTTCAGAAGAAGACTACTTCAAAGGACATTAAATGCTGAATTGATATGTGTTGAAGTTTTATTTTGATAGAACATCCTGATACTTTTTGATCTGCCATCATATATTCTAATCAAGTTTGGAAGACAAATAAAATAAGACAATTGTACTATGTTTCAATAACACTAGAAATTGTCAAAAATAGAATCCAAAAATATCTAGTAAAAAAAAACATACCATCAGGAATTCAAGAGTTAAGAGGTACTAGATATGGAAACTCTCAAAGAGCAATTCAACTTTTCTTTTCATGTCATGGATTGACATAACCTAATTTCTTTTACCTATAAAGCCTTGTGACACAGTATTGTCAGCCCGGGGGTCAACTCCTAGTTGTGGCGTGAAGCTGTGATACTTCTACCAGTGTTTTGGGGTTGACTCTTAGTTGCTGCCACCAACATGTGACCCAGTCGATCGGCAGTCGTCACTACCCGGCAGGATCCTTTGGTCAGGGTACCAAATGGGATGGTTGGTTGATTCTAACAGCTTCACACCAGATGCAACTGGTTTGACACCAGCTCCATTGTTCTCAGCTCACTTCCAATGACTGGTTACTGAAGTAACTACTTCAATCTCAAGTATAACCTACCCACGTTGTGATTCAAAACTGGAGGTGACATTGCACAAGCAAAAAAAAAAAGAAATAAATGAAAACCAAAAAGATTCGGCTATGTTGAGAGAAAGCAAATCAACTTTTATCAGTCTGTTTTATACAGGAGTATGTGTTTTTCCCAACCCATTTCTTTGGAGAGTGACACATTTATACTTCTAGGCAAGTTCTGGTTTTCTGAGTCAACTGGTTTAGTTTTTAAGTGTTGGCTTAGCTATGTTTGTCTGTATAACTTGCTGTTTTGTAGAAAGGCAAGGTCAGAGGCTGAAGTTGTGGAATCTCTCAGTCAGCTTCTGTGAGGCAACTTTCTGGTTCCTGCTAGAGAACTGAACTAATTTCAACTGACTAACTGCCCGAGGGCACTTGCTTATATGGACATCGACCAAAAATCAGTGCAGGGTTATACACAGCCTGGGGTTTTTGGTAATTCCCAGTTTCTGACAAAGGACCCCTTTGTTTTCCAGCTAGGAAAATTGATTACTTCCCATTTTGGAAAATTAATTACTTTCCATTTTGGGAGAGGGGATCCCTTTGTCCGTGAGGAGAGGTTGCAGGATAGCTATCCTCCTAAACTCCCTCCTTCTCACAATGGTACCTCATACCAAATCCTTTCGGTGGGCATTAGTAATTTCCCAATCTTTCTTACCAATTTACTTCTGCCTATCACCATTGCTACCACCCAACCAATGGCGTCTTGGTCCTGCACGCGTGGCTAAGCTTACTTCATTAATTAACTCTTTGACATCCCTGCTATCCAGGATTTTGCAATCATCATTAATTAATTGTCAAAAAAGTTCACCACATTGCCTTTTTGTGAATTTATCATTGACACAATTCCTTCTATACAGGATTATTCAGTTCAGAATTATCAACTGGAATTTTGATTAATTCCCTTTTTTCATCTTACAAATAACACATGGCCTTGTTACTTCACCAACTCCTAAAATCTTTGCGATTTCAAGTGATATCTTCAATGCTTTTGGATAGTTTGTGTTTTCTCAACCAGTACTTTCACAATCATCATTAATCAATTGTCATATCTCACTACACTGCCTTTCTGTGAATTTATTGTTGACACAAATCCTTGGTTTCTTTAAAGTAAAAATAAAATCTTTTCCGTTTTCAGCGTTTTCTTGTTTAATTTTTATGGCTAATTTAGTTAATCAATTACCATAGCTAAATAGTGTCACACTTGTTTGTTTGGCCAACTGCAACAAGACTTCTTAGTTTTCCACTTCATTACATCTTCATTTTGTGTCTTGACATCATGGAGATTAAATAATATTTTTTCTGTTAACTGCATGGTTATATATATATATATATATATATATATATATATATATGAATGAAGAAAAAGAGACACGGACAAGAGGAAAACTATTTTTAGTTGATACATTTCAACCTCTGTGGAACTTCATCAAGGTAATGTATGATTTATTTTAAATGTTCTTTTTAAAATGAATTTTGTTTAGATTGTGATTAGATTGTTATCATATGAGATATATGCTGCACATCTTCACATTCTAATCAATATTCTTTTAAAAAAAAATTGGGGATAATACTCACTCAATTTATTTTTTTCTAGACTTTGAATTATGGTGCATTGTATCTACCACATGCTTTGACTGATATTTCAACCATCTGATGAACATTCATGAACATTCTCAAATTTATAAGCCTTAATAAACCAATGACATCCTCACCTTTGTATATAAACATGTGCAGCAGACTAAATCCTATTTTACCTTGATAAAGTCTCTCAGAGGACAAAATGTCTTGTCTGAGAATAGTTTTTCTTCTTGTCTCTTTTTAATCAGTTTGTTTCTTCTACAGATACACTCTATCTGAGAATATATATAAATATATGTAAATGTTATATCATAGTCTCTCTTACCTTCTGTATAATTGTGTCCTTTGGATAGATCACAAAAGTTATTTTCTGTACCACAGTATTCTGACCAGACATATATTCTGACACGGCACTGAACATTGCATTAGCAACAACGTCAATAGGATAACCCAAATTTCCAGTTCCAAAAGCAGGGAAGGCAATATGTGATAATTTCATTTCATCTGCCTTGAGCAGACAATTTCTGACATAGGTTTTGATGAGCTAATAATAAAAGAAAGATATGTTAATAAATAAAAAAATGAAATTTTTACAAGAAAAAGATGAAAAGAGAAATTAAAAGTATCTTTAGTAGTTTGTGTATTTTCCAGTTTTCATTTAGGGGATTTTTTTCTATGTTTTTTATTGATGCAGTTCATACCACATTAATAACACATGAAACAAGTACCTTTTTATAACATAGACTTACATTTATAATTTCTCAACATTCTTTCCAGTTAAAAGAAAGAGAACTTCAGGCAACATTTATTATTTTAAGTAGTTTTCATTTCAATAATTTATATATTCTTTTCAAAATATATGATAAAAGCCAGTAGAGCATTGCTTTAACAAACTCCACCATGGTGTTTTGATGGTTTAGAAAAGGTAACTGTTTGCTTTGGCTGCTTAAGATGAATGTATCACATGTTCAATTTAAGAGTGAACAAATTGTGATCTGCAAAAAATAGCACATCCCTGTCATTATAAATGAAACACTTTCAACAACATCAGAATATTTAATGGAAAATGAATATGTATTAGGTCTTAAAAAATGGATACATGAACAGATTAAAATACAAAAAGGAAAACAGTACAAACAAAATCAGTAGATGGCCAAGTATAATTTGGTTTAATTCACATAACAATGAAATAAAAACAAAAATAGGCAAAATATTAATAAAATTGTTAATTTGTGACACCCTAAGACAGTGAAAGGATTAATAAATAGCCCAATAGATATACTGAGAAGGTGATGGAAAAGTCAGTAGATGGCTTACATGACCAGATTTTGAAAATTTGGAGAAGGGTAGAGATGGAACACCTGATTTATTTTCCCACAAAGAAAAGGAAAAGGAAAATATTTTCTTTATTTTATTATTTATCAGTTATTAACAGAAAAGAAAGATTTTAGCAAAGCTGAATCACCATGAGATATCATTATTTAGGTATCTGGTAAATTGCTCGAAAGCTGCAGTTAAAAAAAATAAAACTGCATTGTTTCTAATATTTACTTAAGATAAAATAATACAACTTTATTGGTGAACAGTGAAAATTAAAGAACGAGTACATTTATAAGCAGGTCTTAGATTTTGAAAAAGTTTGCTTGAAACCTGTGGTTAAAAAAAATAAAACTACACTGTTTCTAATATTTACTATAAGATAAAATCTTGACTATTTATTGCATGTTTTTTACTTTCTCTATGGCTTTAGTGGCATCAATTTCAGTGGCATTTCCTGCATGGTTGTGATTTGCGCTTCGTTTGACAGTGATAATACTAATAATTGACAGATAATAATTGACATGATAAAATGCTAAATTTCCTTTTTTGCAAATTTCACATTCCAGTAAACCTTATTGTTCACTGTTTTGTCCTTAATATATAGATATATCCATCCAAACACTTCTTCTTTCCTTTTTCACTCTTAACAAAAGTTATGTCCAACACTAGGGTTCCAGATCTCCAAAATTACTGAAATAGAAAACAAATACAGAAAAAAAAAAAAAACCCCAAAAAACAGGACTGCTAAAGTTGAGTGTTGTGGCTCCTTTTATATTAGTTAAGTTGACTCTGTCGTGAGATGGGAGGTTTACGTGGTGCTTTGAGCTTCAAAAATTAATTTGAGTAATCTGCCTTTCGAGCAATTGATAGTTTGAGAAATTATTTTGAGCAATTTGGTCGAGCAATTGATTTTGAGCAATTTACCTAGATCCCATTATTTAAAAGGAAATCTGGGTTAGTGAATTGTCTACAGGTTATAAGAAAATTGGTCATATGGTAAATTTCAAACTTGGGCAGATTTTGAGAAAGTGCATTCCAGTCCTCAAGGAAACCTGATACAAATACTAGAGAACAGTACAATGGAGTTAATGATTGATGGCAGGCTAAAACAAACCCAGGGAAATAGAAAATGAAAAAACAATATAATGAAAATGAATATAAAAACCAGATGCCATGACAAGACTGACTGTCCCAAGGATGTGGAAGAGGGAGGGTTAGAAAGTAAATTCTTCCTGACTATAACGATTCAATGAAAGAAAACACTGAGGAAAATAAGTCCTAGAAATTCATGCACAGAGGACAAATGGCCCAGTGGATAAAGGCATTGGTTAGATCCAGTGAATAGAGTTGCGAGTTCAATACCAGGCTACAGCAGCGGTGAACCAAAATTTGGAGAGTTGAGAAATAAGTTGGAAATAACTGAGACATCCAGAAGAGGCATGGCACATGAAACTAGAACAATCTACCCAGGTGGATGAAATAAAGGGTTCGGTTTGAAATTCCAATCACCTGAAGAAGGCCGGAAGCGTACAATGGCTGAAACGTTGTAAATATGACAATGAAGATGAGAATAACAGTTCAAATAATGTAAGTAAGATATATATGAGGGCTTAAATTAATTTAGATTACCTAGTCCCAATGGCACCTTAGTCCCTTTTTTTTTTACAAACTTGTATTATCATTATCTCCACTTTTCAGGTAATCTGTAAAGTCTTTTGTTGGATTACCATCAACTGACTCCAATTTGATTGCTGTAATAGAATTGTTTGAGACAATATGAATTTGCTTAACAATAAGCTTTAATGAACTTGATATTTATGCAGTCCCCCACTGACATAAGATGTGACACAAGGTCAAGATTACTGTGGAGAACCAAAGTGAGTTCACTTGGGCCAACGATCAAAACTTGCCCAACACCCACAAGTGCAGGCACTTTATTGTCTATTCTTAGCTGAGTCTCTGTCTGTAGACTGAGTTACCCTCTGCCCAAAGACAGAGAGCTTGACAATTGAAACCAGACAGTCTTCAATTGTCAAACTCTCTGTCAAGCTTTAATGAACTCAGTATTTACCCAAGTCCTCCCCACAAGGCGGGATGAGGCACGAGGCTGGTATTTAATGCAGGACTTTCCCAGTGTGTACGCTTGGGAAAAAATTCCCCATAGACCCTGCATACACAAGGTCGGGTGGCTGTCTACCTTGCTAGATGAGACTCTGCCTGTAGGCAGAGAGTTTGACAAGCTAAGAGCTTTAAAGAACTCGGTATTTACCCAAGTCCTCCCCACAAGGAGAGATGTGGCACAAGGCCATTTTTTTTTTTTTTTTTACATGGGGCATTCCAAGCAAGAATTACCCATAGACCCCATACTAATGGGGTTGGGTTTGTCTACCTCCCCAGACGAGACTTTGCCCCTTTGGCATTGCCTCATCTGGGTTCCTCTCTGCTTGAAGGCAAAGAAGTCAACAAGTTGAGTCAGGCAGCAGACCACCTGACTCATTCAAGCCTTAATGAACTTGGTATTTACCCAAGACCTCCCCACACAGAGGGATGTGGCACAATGCCGTTTCTTTTATGTGGGGTATTCCCTGCCTGTATGCTTGGGCAAAAATTACCCGTAGACCTTATAATAATGAGGTCGGGTTTCTCTACCTCACCAGATGGGACTCTGCACTTTGGCATAGCCTTATCTGGGTTCCACTTCTCCCAAAGGCAGAGAGTTTGAAAAGCAGAACCAGGCTGTAGATCACCTGACTCTTTTGAGCTTTAATGAACTCTGTATAGCAGCAGAGTTCTCCAGAATATGTGTGCTCAGGACAGATCCATTAATGCGGGAAATAGATCATATCTCATTCTCCCTGAATTGAGCAAGCATTCTTTGCTGTCTGCAAGTCAATGGTGGATTACCAGGAGCATGATTAGGTTCTTCCTTTTTCTCGCTAGAACTGGATTTATTCCTGATGCATTTTCATAATCCTCTCTAAGTTGCTTGCTCATCCTCTGAATTATCGATAGGTAGGTGTGCTCTCTTCTGTGAAATCCATTCATCACCATTCAAGAGACCAGAGCTCAAGTTTCCTCATAATCTTCGAAAGGAAAGCTGTGGTAATATGCAAATTAGATTGTATATAAGTGGGAAGGTTTCTACACTCATGAGTGAGTTGTGAGAACTTTACATGACATAACAACATGATGTTGACCAGAGGATATCTAACCTTGTTAGAAGATTGTGAGCTTGTTGAGACTTTGATGAGATGTTTTGCAGTGTTGGTGAAAGTCAAGAAAAATAATGACAGCAAATCTCGAGGAGGAGTAATCAAAGTAACAGATTTATTTCTAGCATCAGCAGGTTGTGAAGCTGTAAAAATGATCTCTATAATGGTCTATCTGAAGATGTTAGAAGACTTGACATTTGAAGAAATTGCCAATATTGTACAAGAAAAATTTACATCAAAAAAGAAACTGGTCACAGTTAAGAGGATGAAATTCCCTGAAATCAGGCAAAACCCAGATAAAAACCATTATTCAGCTAACAGATAAAGGGAAACTACTTTTTTCTCCTTATTATTCACACATTACAAAAATTGTTTTGTATTTGTTGATTTTAATATCCACTATTTGAAACAAAAAATCTTTCCATTGTTTTTTTTGATGAAAAATGTTTAAATGTTAAATGCTCTTGATTGCTGTACATTAATCTTTTTCAACACAACCAGCATTTATAGTGTGCTGCTCAGATTTGTTTTAGAATTATTAATGATGCTGTGTTTTTTAGTGAGAGCACATACATTTAAATTTGCAAAGAACACAAGGAAAGAAGAACAAGAGATCAAATTACATTCAACAATAAAATATATATTGACAATTGTGCTTATGTATTAATATTTAGAGAGAGAAAAGTAGCTTCCCTTGTATTGATATCTGATGCAAGATAGGAATAATGTGCTTAAGAACTTGTGTAAATGTTCAGAGTTCAGTGAATAAGATTTGAATTCAAAAATGAAAAGTTTGTACAAAAAGGATAATAGAATTTGGTTTGTGACTTGGCTTGTGACAGACAGTTAACAGTGTAGTGTAATGGTAGTTCTGTGTCTGTGTGTGCGTGAGTAGAAGAATGTAGATACACGTGCATTGCTGAGTTCTGCTGATTTATTGTCCTACTAATTTATTTCTGGAGTACGAACTGTTTAAATACTTTTTGGGTAGGCTACAGAGAGAAGCAAGAAA